TTTTTTTCATTTCTGGGCATCACTGTTTTTATACTCTATCCCCCTGGTATTGCCCGGAGAACATTTTATAGCTAGAACATTTCTAGATACTAGAGCATTGATTTTCTCTCCTATAACAATGTTAATTTAGTGACAAATTAAAAGCTAATTTTTCACTTAAATTATAGGTTTTCATTAATTCAGTTAAATCCTAATGCCCATTGCTAAGGTGGTATGTCTGAATTTGGTCTCAATGACAACAAAATTGCACTAAATCTTTGCATAAGCATTAATAGCCAAAGGCAAGATACCATTTTGATTCTGGGTAGTGCTAGTCTGTTCCTTTATTAACCCTGGATTGTGACAACACCCAAGTGGGTTGTTGTTGTGTAATTAAAACCCAACATGTGATGGTTTGTGCATTTCTTGTATTGATGTACTTAAATTGTATCTTTAGGCAACATGTGCGTCACAGAATAATATTCTTTGAAACTGTTTTTCCCCCAACTTTATAAAATTCCTATCTTTGTCTAAGCCTCAGCTAGTGACCAATTTTGTAATTGTGAAGGGATAGCTCCCAAACTACATCCTTCCCCACTTTTTTCAACCCTCACAACCAAAAGGCATCTGACTCAGCAGCCATGCAGATTGGTCCCCTAGTGGGAGGGGCCTAATGACATCACAGCGAAGCGAGCACAGGAGCAGGGGAGAGAGGTAGGGGGTGACAGGGTGATGAAAGGAATCCAGATACTGGAGCAGTGAGTGGCTAGAAATCAGAAAGTTGAGCAAACGCATCTACAGGAGAGGGGCTAGCAGCAGAGGTGATCTCTAGTGTTCTGTGTTCTTGGAAGTACGGAGAATGCAGAAGGAGGAAAGGGAGAAAGGAATAAATCAGAATCTGACCTGGGTTACATGTTTGTTTCAGTATTCGTTGAATGAAAGGAAGCTGCTGGAAATGAGGACAGAAATGGTGGCATTGGTAAGACATGAGACTTTCCTTGATGGTTGTGTCCACCTTTGCTTCATCCCACGCATGGTTACTGTCATTCGTGATGTGTCATAGGGAGGATGCACGCAGGCTCAGCGTCCTAGGGGTTTTCTTTTCAGTACACATGAAATCACCACCTGAACCACTTCTAAGTGAACAGTTCGATGGCATTAGGTACATTCACATCATGACACAACCATCACTGCCGTCCATCTGCAGAACTCTTGACCACCTGTAGAACTGAAACCACCTGCTACACGCTAGGTCGCCATTCCCTTCTCCCCTGTTCTACTCTCTGTCTCTATGGGTTTGACTACTCTGGGGACCTCATGGAAGTGGAGTCATACGGTGTTTGTCCTTTTGTGACTGGCTGGCTTATTTCACTCAGCACAATGCCCTTAAGTTCATCCGTGTTGTAGCACGTGTCAGAATTGCCCTCCTTTGTAAGGCTGAATAATATCCCATTATATGGACGTGCCACGTTTGGATTATCCTGTCCGTGGACACTTGGGTTGCTGCCGTCTCTTGGCCACTGTGAATAATGCCGCTATGAACGTGGTTGGACACGTACCTGTTGGAGTCCCTGCTTTCAGTTTTTGGGGTATGCACCCAGAAGTGTGGAGCATCCTGGGGATTTTTTTTTTTTTTTTTTTTTTTTTTTTTTTTTTGCAGTTAATAGAATATTTGATTATCTTAATGAAAGTTTAAATCTCAGTGACTGAAGAATAAGGAATGGAGATTTTTTATTTTTTATTTTGTTTTTGAACTTAGGGCACGCATTACTTTTTTTCCCTCCTATGTTACTTGGGACCTCTGAAACTCACAAGACGCTTCCATCAGAATAGCATATTCCTCCAGAATATTTTCTACTCATCCAGGCATTTATTTCCTTACTCATTCCCTGAATTGTTAGCCATAAGGAACTACAAGTGATCCTTGAACGATAGAGAGATTAGGGACCCTCCCATGCATCAGAACTCTGCATATAACTTGTGACTCCCCGAGCACTTCACCACCAATAGCCTCCTGTTGACCGGAAGCCTTCCCAGTAACATCAGTAGTCAGTACGTATTCTGTGTGTTGTATGTATTGTATACTGTATTCTTACAATAAAGTAACAGGAATATTAAAGGCCCTGATCAGTGCACATAGTGTGAAGATAGAAGAACAGAGACCAAAGCCCAGGTCTCCTCAATCTTACCCCAGCTTTCTCTCCGACTGCACCCTGCTGGGGAGGGTCCCTAGGAGGGAGCCATGGGGACAGAGGTATCCCAGCTGGTCTAATGCTGTGACTCTCTGTTTTAAAAGCATGCCCAGCAAGATCGGGCTGTCACCCAGACCGACAGGAAGATAGACACTGAGGTCGCTGGCCTCAAAACCATGCTGGAGTCGCACAAGCTTGATAACATTAAATATTTAGCAGGTAAGCTATTTTGTGCCGAAGTCGTTCAGAACAGCTGAAAATACATAGAATTTAGAAAATAAGTCAAAGATGCGCACTTTGTTGATTCTAACACATTTTTTTCACATTTTAACGTCTCTGAAATTAGAAGGCACCTTACAATTTCTAATAGATGGATCATCATACCGTAATTGGCCTTTTTTCCCCTTAGTAGCATAGCGACGTGCTTTACGATGGTCAGAATCTTAAATTTTGTAAGTTACTCTCATTGAACAGTCGTTACTTACTTGAAAACTTTTTTAGTGAAATTCAAGATAGAACATTTTATGGATGGAGTAAAAGGCTTTTGAACTGTGATCTCTCTGCTTCAGTTGGTCCCACTCCCTGTGAGGAGCTATTTTGGTTTTTTAATTTTTGAGCCCAAAGAGGAAATGAAGACTCACGTGTGAATATAATTAGCCATCCGTTGCAACTCCTGTTTAACATTTTGGATTAATCAGTATTTCAAGTTTCTAAAGCATTTAGAAGTGGAATTTTGTTCGTGAAGGTTTAAAGGGTGTGTCCCTGTAATATACATGTATTTTGTGACCACAGAATTTCTGTGATTCTCAGCTTTCATTAAAAAGTTTTGTTGAATATGGGATAATTTGTACTTTGAAGATGATTTGAAGGAGTGGAGGGGTTTTTTTTGTTTTTTGTTTAACGTTTTTATATTTATTTTTGAGAGCGTGCAAGGAGGGGAGAGGCAGAGAAAGGGGCGGGGGGCACAGAGGAGCCAAAGCAGGGTCCACACTGACAGGAGTGATCCCAATATGGGGCTCAAACTCACAAACCAGGAGATCCTGACCCGAGCCAAAGGCAGACGCTCAAGCGCCTGAGCCACCCTGGTGCCCCAAGTAGTGGAGTGTTGTCGTGGGCAGGTGTCTCGTGGAATGTGGCACATTAGCAGATGATCTGAGTTTCTTGCGTTTGTTCATTGTTTTGCTTGGTGGGTAGGTGGATAAACAGCTGTGTTTTCTTAATGAAAAGTTGTTCCTTAAGTAACTGTTAACTAATACTATGTTCGATTTTTTTTTTTTTTTCTTACAGGGTCTGTATTTACGTGCCTAACAGTAGCTCTGGGATTTTATCGCCTGTGGATGTAATAAAGTGTCTGTTTAAAGAAATCCTTATCATTCTGCCTTAAGAAAACCAGACTGCTGTCCTTCCCCGCCCCCTCCCCCATTTCCAGATTTTAACCCTGGTTTCGATTTAACATGTATTATTTATTTTATGCAGAGTATGGACATGTGACAAAGGAAAGGAGTCAAGAATTTCATAATTGTTCCTTTCGTCTTTTCTGTCTAGTTGGCTTTGTAACGCTGAGCGGTGGTGGACAAAGCGTGGGAGACCCCGCTCAGCTGGACCAGTGAACTTGGTCTAACCTGTGGGACATATCAACAGTAAATATTTGCGTAATTCTCCACAATTTTAAATCTTTTGTCAGAGGACGTGGGGGTCTCCGCCTCTTCACTAAGTGCTGAAGAATCACCGAAACTGAACCAAGAGCACCAAATCCTCTTTACCTGAGGACCCGGTCCTTCCCGTCAGCCAGTCCCCACATTAGGGTAACTGTGTTTCAGGCCCAGTTGTTTGGGGTGTTAATGATTCCCCTCTCCTGTCCATCCAAAGCAGACTTTTTTCCTCTTCATTTCCATTGTCTTTGTTATTGTCATGGTTATTTTTTACGTGCCTTCCAGCTAGAAAATCTTGTTGCCTAATGAAGTTTTGTAATGGTACTGGGGACTCTCTTTTACCTCCCAGAGTGCTAGGTTTCTCTCCCACCCTCTCACTTAAGTCTCCATGATGTGAGAACTGTAAGGTAACTCCCATTTGTGGCATTGCCTACCTAGAAAACGCGCTAATTCTCGGCATGGAAGTCTAGTTTGTGCAACACGGTCTCCTTCCTTCTGGTCTTCATCTGCTTTGCATGCAAGAGAACCACTCAGTTTTCCTTCTGCAGCAGTATCTAGATCTTTAGATAGCGGATGCACTTTTTACACAAGTCTTTCTTTAATGAATATGCTTGGAAGTTAGAGAACCGTCATGCTGGCTCATCGTCCAAACCTGGGTCTATTCCTTTGGTTGTTCAAGACTTTCTTATACCTACCTTACCTCTGGTTTTTAAAACAAAGAAATGCCTACCGACAGGGTCCTTTTAGAGAAGCACGTTCTCATGTTATTTGAATGACTGATGTGGGAGAGGAGAAGCATTTTTAAAAGGAGGACACGGAGACCATGTTTTCCATCTCTCTCCACACGCGTGTGCACACGACCTGGTACGGTGGAGAAGACAAGTGTCGCTCAAACAGGTGGAATAAATCACCCACCGCCACTGTAGGCAGACAAATTACCTTTGTCCTTTGGATGTCATTTCGAAACTTCCGGAAATGTAAATCGTTGTCTTTTTTCAAAACATAGGTTTAGCACAGAGATTCTGAACTCCAAATAAGCATGAAAATCAAGTACTTTGGCATTGGTGGTATCAGTTTCAAAGTGAATGTAATGTAATCGTTTTCAACTTGATCCAGAATTCTCTCAACTGCTCCATAAACTACCGTGGCAGTACGTTCTTCCCCTTTCAGGGACGGAGCCCCAGAAAATACTGCACATTTAGCAATTGCCTTAATTATTAAAGATTTAAGTAAATGACATCCCATTAAGACCACGTTTGCCACTACTTAATGTAGATACAACTTTCGTTAATAAGAACTTGGAGAGAGGGCCTGGAGCGCAGACACTCCTCCAAAATTAAAAGAATCCCCAAGAGGCACAAGCACTGTAGGCAGTTACGTTTCAGAGCAAACAGTAACTCGTGTAGGTTAAAAACAAGTGAGGCGACCTTACTTCCCGGTAAAATATGTTTTTAAGTGGCATTCAGTGGGGTGACACTCTTTCATCTGCCAGAAAGTACTCCAAGTGCCATCCCCACTGTTTGCAGTAGTGGGCTGCGTCAGGCCCTGGATCCGGGGCCTTGGATTTTGCTCTGCCGTCGTTTGCAGCACAGGACAGCCTCCCCATCCCCGCAACCTTGGGAACAACCAACTCGCCTTTGGGTGGCTCAGGTTGCGTGCGTCTGTGGAGGTTACAAGGGTTCGGGACCGTGTTCTCTTTGTTTGGTCAGAGGTCTTCTATGGGAAAAGCATATGGGCCAGAAATACGAGCATGCCCTCCCCTCTGCTGGCTGGCCCAGGCTTCTGAGAGCAGCGTGACCGTTCCCTGAACTAGCCTGGCTCAGAGGGATTCAGATCACTTGGGGATTTAGGCCTTCGCCTAATTTCTAATCTCAGGAAGGGGGAGGATGCCCGGCCCGACTCGCAGGGAGCCCGTGTCCGGGCCCTGGGGAGTTAACCAGAGCTGAGAGCTGCCAACACGCCCCTGTGGGTACAGGTGCCTGAGCTATGCATGCCCAAGGCAGGGCATCGAACGGACAGGCTCCGTCTCCTTCGAGGCTGCCTCTGCATTCCTGCCTCCTCCCGCCTGCCCTGTTTTTTTTTTTTTTTTTTTTTTTTTTTTTTTTTTTTTTAAAGAACCTAAACTCCAAATCGACTCCTTTCCTGCTCCATTAGTAAGCAAAACCTGCCTGTCTCTACGGTTCTTTCCAGGAAACAGCAGTTTGGTCTCGGGGCCGTTCTTACCCCTTCGGCCGGTTTTCCAGCTTCGTCTCTAACAGAACCAAATCCGAATGTATTCATTTTTTCCCTCAAGTACGCCAAGGACCTCAGTTGAGAAGTCAAGTTCGGGAAGAAAGGCTTGACTCAAACCAGACATCTCGCTGGAATTTGTCTCGGGAACACTCTAAAAATAAACACCCTGAGCCACAGCGAGCATGTCCCTGCCTGGGTTGGCCCCGGCTCAGCTCGTGCCCTTCCCTTTGTAGCTGCCCTTAGTGACAGGAGCCTCGCTTCTGTGTCTCTCGGCCTCCTCCCCGTCCCCGCCTCTGCCTGTGCATTAACCATGTCAGCACCGGCCCAGCATTTCTCTTCCGCCCCACCATGCTCCGTCGAACCTGTCGCCGTCCTTTGCGAACAAATCTAGAACCCCCGTCTAGGAAACTTCGGCCTTAACATACGTGTATCAGATTTGCAGCTTTTCTGACGCTAGAGCAAGAACGTGTTAAGCGGAAGCTATTCCTTCTGTAGTCTCTGTGTTTGGGAACGTCGAGCCTTTCGTTGCGCTTCTATTTTGAAAATACCTGTCCTGCTGAAGATTTACACTCCCGTTCCTCTGATTGTAACCCAAATCATTTGTTAACCTTTTCGTCACTTAAGCAAACACTCAATTCCATTTTATTGTAGAGTGGGTATAATATCTTTATTGTCTAAAGTAAAATATGTGATTGTTTCTGTGTGCCTACTTCTCATTCAGATTTTTCAATGAATGGAGAAGAACTAGAGCAGCCTGTGTCTGCACTGTATTTTAACTGTTACTCCCTCCAATTGTATAGGGTAATGGTGTATTACAAGAAAATCTAATACCCCCAAGATTGGGTTTGTATAGATGACAACCTGGGAAGTGCTTATTTGATTTACAAAATAAATTTTTTTATTATTCCAAAGAATCAGCATGCTTGTGTAAAACCCTTTACTTGTTTGAGGGGAAATGAGGTTTTCAAGCTCAAGTTTGAGAAGTATGAGTGTTAGGAATCCAAATCAGGCTAGCCTGAGCAAGAAGGAATCTGCCCTTTTAGCTCACAGAATCAAAGCTCAGGAGGGGCGAGACTCCAATGCCATCCGACCTCCTCTCTGCACCTCTTACCTCCCCTTTCTCTCCAGGTGGGCAAAACTCTCTCAGACCAGCTTCCTGGTGAAGAACCGGAAAGGCCCAGCACACGCCCCGAGGCTTGGTGATTGGAGAGCTCATTCCACTGGGACAAAGCCCGGAAGAACGTATCCAAAGCCTGCGGCCAAGGTGGCAGCCGAGCAGGAGGGTGCAGGGAGGGGTGCTGTGGTTCCTTGGGGCAGCTCCTTCCCTGGAGACCCGCTGGGCAAGCGTCCCAGCTCTGGAAGAGGGAGCTCTTCGCGAGTCACTGTGCAGGCGACCTTCAGTGTAACCGCGTCTGCATGCGAGGAAAGCAGACACCTTGGGAAAGCGGACCACTGAAATAGCTGAGAAATTAATGTTAGGTACCTTTCATGGTCTCCAACCAGAAATCTACCAACGGTAGAGAGTCAAATAAACTGGACTTGAGGATGAGCCTTAAAGTTGCTAAAAGGCCTCCAATGATTTGCAGACTCGGCCTCCGTGTTTACAAAGCAGGTGGGGGGCGTCCATCCACCTGGTCCTGCTCTCACATGCACGCAGTGCGGCAAAACGAAAGCCTTGGCTTTGCCTCCGGACTTTGATGTCCTCCAAAATAATGTTGCGTCGAAGGATGGCATTTTCCAGAAACAGCTTTCTTTCTGGAATCGAAGACTCTGCCTTTCCCCAGCCGAGCTCTGCCACGCATCGTACAGCCAGTGGCGTCTACCTTAATTCCGCAGCTTCCACGCGAGGGTCACAGACTGTGGGAGGCTGGGGAGCTTTCGCAGGGGCCACCGCCACCCACAAGGATGTGGGCATCTGCACCTTAACGTCAACAGCTTTGGGTCGCCTCTTACATGTTACAAGTACGTGCACAACTATTTCTAGGCCAGCACTCTCAGGAGGAAGGAGTTGAGGCTGGGTTGGGTTTTTTTTAATGTTTATTCATTTTTGAGAGACAGAGAGAGACAGAGCATGAGTGGGGAAAGGGCAGAGAGAGGGAGACAGAATCCGAAGCAGGCTCCAGGCTCCGAGCTGTCAGCACAGAGCCCGACACGGGGCTCAAACTCACCGCAAGATCATGACCTGACCAGAAGTCAGATGCTCAACCGACTGAGCCACCCAGTTGCCCCGAGGCCTGGGTATTTTATAAGGTCCTAATTTATATTTTTCTCTCCGTTTCATCCTCCCCGTCCCCTATCAGTTCATGATTTGGAAGCTTAAGATCGGCCCAGGGAGCTGCACTCCCAGTTGTAGTTCGGGCACTTCACTGTCTCTGGAAGATATTACGGTTCTTCCATGGCCAACTGAGAGCCCACGACGTCCGTCCTCCCAGGAGAGAAGAAACAGCTGCTGAGTGGCACCGTGTCCCTTACTGCACGAAAGCCAGCGTCTGTGCCTAACACGGAAGCATTTTTTTATTATTTCTTCTTTATAGTAGTTTGTGGTGTGTGAGCCTCATATCATTCTGAGAGGCGGTGTCTCTGTGGTATCTGTGAAAAAGGGTGATGAGACTTCACGGAGAAAGGATGGAAACCTGCGGGACCAAGGTATTCAGCGAACCCATGAGAGCACTTATGAGTATTATTTTTTTACGTCGTAGCGATCGGGTGCTTTCAACGGCAAGTAA